TTTTATTTCTACATTCAAATGTATTATTTTTTCTTTATTTCTCCCCATTTACAAAACATGTCTTTTTTTGCACAGTAATGGAACAAAATTCTCACCATATATTCCATTAATTCTCAGCAAAAACGACTTTTATGTTTGTCTGGTAAAAAAACATTAAGTTTTGATGGTAAAAAAAACTTAAACATGAATAGAACGTACCTGTGGTGTTGGCAAAGACGTCATTCTGCGCCGTTCCATCTGAGATGATGGTAGCGGAGGCAGCGTCGCTTGTTGGTGCACGGTCAAAGGTCAATGTGGAAGGGGTAGCAAACTGCCCCGACGGGGTCACTGTGACTGATAGAAACAGACAGAAGTCAGGCACCAATGTGACAGCACAACAATGTCTTCTGTTTCTTCAACTCAAGTGCAAAGCTGCAGTTTCCTCCAGCTGCACAAACTTGGTTTGTCTCATATGTCAACTTCCAGTTTATAACCAATCACACAATATCTGCTGAAAGGAAACAACGTTTTGCCAAGAATGTTTCCAGAAAAAAATTGTCGTTTTAGTTGCTAATGAGATCAAACAGCAAAGCATCCACTAACACTATGCCTAAACTAACGGGCTTTAAAGCATCAGAGCTTCAGGTAACCCTCACATTTACCCTGGGCTTACACAGCACCCGATCTGTTGGAAAGCCCGGAGGAGCCTCAGATAAGCCAGCAGAAATATGAAATCTGTGGATTTTAGAACCATCAATCTGTTTTTAGACATCCAGGTATTTTCAGAAGTTACAATGAGTGAGTGCAACAAGTTAAGAAGTTGTATTTGTTCCTCACTCTGATGCATTTGATGTATAAACCTTTTTTTCTGATAACTAAATGCACAGTAACTAATTTAACGTTTGTAATTGTTAACCATATGTTATGATTTGTTTTGAAAATCCAGATGTCATCTTTCAGTTTCCTGCTTGCATTTGCTTGGTTTCTGTATATTTGTTCTGGCTGTGGTGTCCAAATCCAACCCCAAACAATAAATGTAATTTATTCTGATAAAGATGATCATTTCTACATACATGTGGTTCCTGGAGTCAATTGGATGTTCTTTAGGGGGCTGAGTTCCTTCTTGACTGGTCCCACTGGAAGATCATTGTCTTTCTTCCGTCTCTTGTAGGGGACAAAGAGGCGCACAGGGCCTGTCTGGACAATAAAATAACAAAACTAAATAAATAAAAGAAACGAAAATTCACTGACATTCATGGAGAAAATTATTTAAGATCGAAGCATTTTAGATTTACTTTCTTCTCACTTTGCTTTACGTTTGAATGGTTGCTGTGAGTAGAATTTCGTATAAAAAAAAACAAAAAAAAAGAGTGATTAACTGGAGAAATGTAAAAAGCAAAGAGCTTTACAACAGGGAGCATTTCACCTGTTAGGCCTGACTATAAATGCTGAATGTCTGAACCCCTCCCAATGCAGCACTTTCCAACAAAGTCCCACCGAACAGATGAGAGTAGAAAGGAGAAGCTCCCTCTGCAGAATTACATGGCTTAACAGAAAAAAAAAGAGTTCTGTCTCAGTCTGTAAACATGTGTAGCCAAACTATACCCCCCAAAAAAATCTATATCTGTGAGCATCTTTCAAGGATTTCCCTGACACTGGCTTCCATGTTTTACAGCTTCTGAGGTGTGAGGAGTGAAAGCTCCGATTTGAATCAAAACCCAGAGTTCTAGAAAAATACTTCCAATGATTTCTGTTTTCACAAAATGTTACAACAAACTCACTTAAAGTTTCTATTAAAGATCCATTGGAACTTTATGTGTTATAATTCGGGCTTTAGAAGTAGAGATACTTCCCATATTTTTGACTGATATTAGCTTTGATGATTCATGACTGAAGTGATTCCCAAACCACCACCTATAGGGGGCACGCCACATTTTAGTGGAGAATAACAGTAATAATGGAAAAACACACAGAGACCAATAGGGTTCTCTGATCTTTCTTTCTGCTCCATAGACTGGAACTCTAATAATTGAATAATAATAATTTATTCATATCAATGTTGAATTTGGTTAGAAAGGAGAATAAACAGCTAAACTTAAAGTAATTGTACTCTAAAGGTGGTAGTTTAAAGCTACAGTGTGTAACTTTCAGCGACATCTAGCGGTCAGACTGCAGACTGCAGCAACATGAACATCTCCCCCCCACCGCTTCTCCCCCCCAACAGTACGGCGAGCGTTACGGGACAAAATGTCTTCCACTACGTCCCCATTACCTACCTTCTCAAGTGATGAGGTTTGTTTACATAGATAATTTTACAGATAGTATTTCATTAGTCTGTGTAGGGTATAGATTTCAGTACCGTCTCAGTTCATCTCTCTCAACTTGCCGTAGTTACTTTCGAGCGTAATGGGCGATCTCGCAATCGCTAGTTTGTTGGCTCTGCGCTGCCGTAGCGCAAAGATGTCTGCCTCCATGGCTGCGAGACCCGCTCCTATGTAATTATAAATAACGAATTCTAAGGCAACGCAAATATTAAGGTTAAGAGGCTGAGCTCGTAGATGATGATAAAATAACATAGTTATGTATAATATATTACATTTCTGACTGTATATCCCTGTAATTATTACACACTGTAGCTTTAAGTGATTCAAAGTAATTATTGTAGTTTATTTTATTGCAATATTTATTTAACTGCTGTTGCCTTTTCTTCAGTTTTTCAGCTATTAAAAAGGTTGGAGTGGGGTGAGAGACCGAAGGGGAGCAAAAACTTCCTTTTAAACAAAAGGGGATTTTTTGAGAACCACTGCATTAATGCATTCAGAAGCCATGGCTTAAGATTACATGAAGCACATGCATTGCTTCTGCCTCCTTTTACTATAATGTTCATGTTTAGTTTAGTTTTTTACCTGATGTTTGCATCATTGCATCATTTTTATCATAGAAACGCTGAAAGAGAAGGAAATATCAGCTCTAAGAATCGGCCAAAAAACATCTGCACAGGGCAGCAAATTTATTCTTTCGCTAACATCTAAGGTCTTTGACTTTGCTCAGCCTTTAGAAATGGTTTAATAAGGAGGAATCATGAAAATGGCAGCACCCAGATGGAGACAGGGCACTCTGCTTTAAAGGCAAGTGTTTCTTTTATTTAGGGATGAAAGAAAACTTCACCTAACCTGCATCGCCTACTGATTGTGGTCCGTGGCCCCTGGCGGTCAACGTTTTTAAAAGACGCTGAGGGTTGCTGACAAAGTTTGCAACATCAGATGGAGAGCCAAAGAGCTGCTGACATCCTTTTAGGGGATTTCAGCAACATCCCCTGGGGCCCACCCAGGTAATGTTGCTTACTTAATGTTGTGTCGTTACGCCATTAAATTTAGGGAAGATTGCCAAAGTAACTGAGCCAGACTTTTTTGTATTCCCTGCGGTACCTCCTCAACCCATCAGGGGGCGGCAATTATTGGATGCAACCTTTTAGGGGTACTTTACATCGAAACAACTCCCAAGCAGTTAATAAAAGTTTAAATTAGATTTATATTCAACCTACTCTTTTTAAACATATTACATCTCCTAATCAGGAAGACTTAATTAATAAAACTAAAATCAATTAATCCATCCAGATACAGGCAACTGGTTAAACCTTAATTGAATTTACACCTCATACAAACAAAAAAACAATCATCACTTACCATGGTGACACTTTCTGGTGTCAGAGACTCCCCATCCTTTGGTGACTAGAAAAGAAGCAATACATATTATTATTATTATTATTATTATTATTATATCTGCTTAAAAACAATCTTAATGTTGATACTTGAACAGTTGATAAACCTGTTCAGCTCACCAAGGTCCTTAAAAATAATAACTTTTTAGGTTTATGGTGGTAAAATCAACAGCAATTTAACAACAATGGCTTCTTCTTTGTTTTTCTTCACAAAATAACTCAGATTTCTCAGATTCCAACCTGTTCTTCAATGCATCCACATAGTAGTTTTAGCTCCAAGTACATTCATCTACTGCGATGCATTTCTGGGTGTCCCTTCACTAAATCATCAACATTTTCTCCCCCATCTCCTTGTTTGCTGCTAAGAGGAAATGTCCCTTTGAATGATCGGTTCCTGAACAAGCATAGTAGCTTAATGAAAGCATGGGGCTGTGTCATGGCACAAAGTTATGAAACAGGCAACTCTAAATGGGCTTAAGGTAACAAGAGGCAAAATTATCTAAAATTGGCGTTTAGACATTGGAAGGATGTCCGATTACCTAGAGAAAACCCACGCTTGCAAAGGAAGAACATACAAATTTAATGCAAAAAGAAAAGAAAAAAAACATACTGAGACCCAGATTTAGGACCTCTCTTCAGAAACAAAACTGTTCATTTCCACCCTGAAGATCCAATTTGATCGGCTCTAGTGTCCTTAATTTTGATTCAAATGAAACAAAGATAGACAAAAAGATATCTAAAAACTGTGATATAATCCTTTACTTTACATTTGAACGAAACAGGAGCTAACTTTAGCGGCGAACCACCAGTGTTGTTTTTGACAGCCAGATTTAGTCTTATCTTTAGGACGAAAACTATTATTACGGTAGTCTTACTCGCATTTTAGTCATTATGATATGATAGTTTTAGTCGGTTTTAGTTGACAAAAACTTTAAAAGGTTTTAGTCTAGTTTTAGTCAGTTTTATGTTGCGAAAAACAGTTAACATTTACAAATAGCAGATCTAGTTCAACACATCATATTGGTTCAAATAGCAGACTGACAACCTAACAAAATGTCCAATAAAGGAACGGTTTTAAACGTATAAGGTTTCCATCCCAAAGAAAACACTTCCTGATCTACTATTAATTCATTGCTCAAAAAAAGCAAAGAAGGAAAACATTCTTCTTTCTACTTTGGCAATTTTGGCTTTATTTCTTCAATTTGCACCTTAGTTACCGCAGCTCAGGGGTCAAAGTAGTAGTAGGGTTTTGATATTAAAAAAAAAAAAAAACAGAGAGAAACTGCATAAATGCCTTGTAATGCCATGGCAATCCAGACCTAAATTGAACGAATACGCTAACTAAAATTTTGAAGTATTCTTGTCCATTTAAGATGCATTCCTGCTCCACCACTGCAGATTTAGCCTTATTTAGATTTTTAGCGTCTCAAGTTCTCCAAGAAGATTCTGGTTTGCTGAACCAAGGAAAAGTCTAAAAAGACCCAAGCTGGCCATCAGAGACTGACTTTGGACACCGCTGCACTGATGACGGTAGGAGTTTAGATTATTACACCATGACCCTTTGATTTTTATACTGGATACTAAAAATGCCATCAAACAAGTGATTTTAAAGTTGTAAAAGTTTATTTGATGCTTTTGAAACCAACTGTTTCCATTCAGCCCATTAAGAAATCTTTGTACTCCGACTCTGTATAAACAACATGACAGCTCAAAAATAATTTCTATTTTATCCCAGAATAGGAATCTTGAGAATAGCTACAGGGATGCAGGTTCACCTTTAACAGAAAACATTGTGATCTTTTGATACAATGGCATAAGATTATCTATATTAGTTACTTAAACTTTATAATAATTGTTGTTTTCTATTAATTTAGATTAGCCATCTATGAGAGCTGAAGGCATTTTTATTTTTTCCTGCTACTGCAACTTTTATATTTTAGTCATGAGAAGAAAAGAGGAAAGATTAAACTCTACTTCACAATAAAATTTAAGTTTAGATTTAGAAAAACCATAGAAAAAAAGGAAAAGCTGAACAGGTAACCCAAATCCAGCATTATTCCTATCATTTATGTGTGTTTTTGTCTCGTTGATGAGAGCTTGTCAGAGTTCTAGAGACCAAGCAAGACCAGTTGTGCTCACTCACATGTGTCAGGTCATCACAGCAGGCTGCACAGGTACAGGAAGCAGCATGAGGGTTCAAGATCTGCTCCTAAAAAAACACAAACAGGTTTAAAAATACAAATAAGGCAGAAAAGTATCTCAGCTTTCTGTTTGGAACCAGCAGACCTGCACAGCAGTGGGAACAGAGAGAAGCGTTGGTTAACATGAAACCATTCAGTACAGCAGTAATCCTACAGCTGGCAGGTACCTGAATAAGGCAGAGCAGAGGTCTGCCAGCATATCTGATGCTCCTTTTCCAGTCTTTGCTGCTCGCTCTTCCTGATAAAGCTTCGAACTCTGTTGGTGTAACCCACTGCTGATTGTGTTTGATACAGCGACCTTTACCCCCTGGACAAAAACAAAGCGATGTAAGAGTAGATAACAGAAGGAGGAGGATGAATTTAAGAACTCTGGACTGGCAGAGAACAAAAAGGTTCATTTGGGTTCCTTTTCTCCAACTAAAAGAACTTTCTGGGTGGATTCATGTTTTTCAATACAAAACAACGTAAGGGTAAAAACATACTGTAAACACAAAAGCTTTTAAAGGATTGTAATCAAGAATCAACATGGACATGATCTGGTTTTCTGTTGAACAAATGGCCACTCAGAGTTTTCCTCTCCACTGTCGCTACAACTATGCTTGGTCTGAGGGATTGCATTTGAGTCAATGAGTCGATGCAATCAGCTGGTTTTCTTTAGAAAGAAAACTTTGAACCAGTCTGACTGTATGATCTGTTTGAAGTGTCTCTGTAAAGAGGCTTGAGATGACATATGTTGTGAATTGGTGCTGTGTGAATAAACTGAAACGAAGAATGGAAAACTAAATTTACCCAAAGCAATGAGAAAACATATTTTCAATCAAGTCCCTATAACTAATGCAATTGAGAAAGTGATAAGGACAATCAGCATTAAGTCAGAAACTGCAGAAAAATCTGTTGAAAATGGGAGACCTTGGTGGTGAAAACATTAAAGCAAACATACCAGGAATAGCAGCTAAGCTAAGAGGGGTCAATGTTCCCTTGGAAATGACAGAATATCCGAAGAAAGTAATAAGAGGTTGAAAAGTAGTAGATTCCACAAGCATTAAGGTGCTTTAAACAGTTCAACACTGTGACAAACAGCTCAGGTGAGCTCAGACGGAGACAAATGTGCAAAATGTTGAAGAAATTTAATAAAAAATGGAAAACTGATTGGGACATTTAAAAAGAAATATGTAGAATATTGGCAGAAGCAAATACAATTAGGGATGTCCCAAGCCGATATTAATATTGGTTATTGGTCTGATAACCGATTATATCAGCCGCCGTATAAAATCTTCCATATCGGCATGGTGATAGAGACACTCAGCTTCTGCTTATAGTTTCTGTTACCAACTGGTTAATATTATATGTGTCAGCTCTTCTCATACCTTCTGTTGTTCACTGTGGTTTTCTGTTTTAGTAACGACACTTGATCAAGCTTTTTATGACATTCTACAGGATAAAAGAAGTAATTAATGTGTCCATGACTCCTGCTAATACCCGATCAGGTCAATATCCGTATCGGAAATGAAAAATGTGTATTACAATAGATGGATGCACCTCTGAAGTTACTCATCTGATTTTAAATGCAGCATTAAATAGCAAATCAACTAATATCAGAAAGGATCTTTTATATCAAATGAGCAAGAAGGCCCAAAAGCTTTGGATTGGTAAACCAGCAGCAACAGCATCATAGCAAGCCTTATTCAAGTTGAAGGGGAACAACTATTCTTCAAGAGGCTGGTCAATTATACTTTATTACTGTGTTTAACACTTTATATCGGCATTTCCCATAAGAAAAGATCATGTGACTGAAGGTAGGATGCTTCGTGTGCAATGAGTGAACGAGGAAATAACAGAGCCAAGGACTCTGCAGAGGAGTGAAAGAGTGTGAAAAAGTGCAAAAAAATATTAGATATCAGGGAGAAATAATATTAGATACCGTTTGCTGTTTTCTAATATTTTATCTCTAAAATATATTTTTGTAATGTTTTTAAATCTTTTCTCATTTCAAATTTCTCTATTTCAAATTGATTTTTTATGAATTTTTCAAACAGTGTTTTACAGATCATCTTTTCTTTACTTCAAACCCCACACTAATACTCGCTTTGGAACACTGACAAATAAAACAGTTGCTGCCAAGTTCCAGCAGACCAATAGAAATGCTTACTGCTCCTCCCTCCAGAGGAAAGCCAGAGAATTTGATCTGGAAAATGCAATTTGAAAAAAAAAATAAATAAATAATCCTTTGAAGAAACAAAAATCTGAAAAAAAAAGCAATTCTACTCTACAAATCTTTTTTTATTATTAAGAAGATTTTAAAGTTTGATTTATGGTTTGCACTTTTTGAACATTTTTTATTTACATATTATGTTGTTATTATGAAGCGATACTGGAACAATATTCAGTCCATAGAGCTAAAGCAGCAGAAGATGCAAAACGGCTTGATGTGTGAGTAAGTACTGCCAACAGATGGCGACAATTCTCCATTGGGATTAATGAGGTATTATGGAATAATAAGTAAAAACTATCAGGATGATTGCTTTCCATATAGTGGATCATTATTATGTGTTTTTTTAAGTTTTTTATGTTTATAGCAGGTAACTGGGCACCTTTAAGTTGATAGAATCATCTGGAAAAATCACCTGAGCCCAGTCGATTCTTGTAGAGGACTCCGCTTGTGTTCCTGCAGCGGACTGGCAGCTCGTTGTTATACACCGATGGGTCCCAGTTGTATTTGGAGCAAGAATCTTTGTCCTGCAGCGGAGTCAGAGGCGTCGAGGGATTCTGTGGGCCTTCAGGACGCGCATAGAGGGACACAGATCATTTGTGATCATTTTCCAAATGGTGAGACTAATCATCTTTGCAGGACACCGACGTGCGTATACCTGATGTGATTGTGGCGGCAGATTTAAGGCCTGCTGCTTCCACTATGCTGCCGTCTGTGTGAACCACGATCAGAGTGGCCTTCTGGGCACTGAGACCTTCACCCAGCTGGAGAGTGGTTCTGCCACTCTGTCAACACACACATTACACGGTATCAGCAATGGAAACCATCAGTGTTAAAACTGCCACAGTAACATACATAACGTATCCATCCAACCATCCATTTTCTGACACGCTTAATCCCAAGTGGGGTCGCGAGGGGTGCTAACTCCAGCTGTCAATGGGCGAGAGGCGGGGTACACCCTGGACAGGTCGCCAGTCCATCGCAGGGCACATAATTTATCATATATGCTAATTAAAGCAACATGGTGTAACTTTTTGGCCACCAGGGGGCACTTGATCTTAAACTTCCAGGTTTAGCCCACCTGAAGGCGGCTGGTAACACTACAATGTAGCTAAATGAACCAGTCTGACTGGACCAGCAGACGGGGAACTTATGAGTTAAATTCAAGGACACATTCGTCCCTTTAGATTACATCCTACATCAGAGAAGAAGAAACATGTCTGCCTAAAAACTATGTTTTAAGGTTAGCTCTGGTGTTTGAGGGAAGCTCAGACAGCTGTAAAGTGGAGCGCTGGGTCACATTACTCATTCAGCGACATATGGAGTTTTTTAGAAGAGCAGCCCACATGGGGCATCATTACGCATCAGGCGCTGCATATTGACCAGAAAAATCATTTCAGGTGTCTCAAATGAAGCAAACACTTGGATTAAAAATTCTGCTTGACGTTTTCTTTCATAGACAGAGCAACCTGTGAAGTTTACCATCACCTTCTCTAACATACAGAGCATTTATAGATCAGTGCTTCCATGTCTTTTTTATATCTCTGCTTCTGTCTCCTTGAACCCCAGTCAGCCTCAGCAGAAGGCCCTCAAATTGTCCCTGGCTCTGTTGGAGGTTTCTCCCTGTTAAAAGGGAGATTTTCCTCTCCACTGTCACTGCATGCATGGTTGGTGTGAGGGTTGAGGGATTGCTGCAGAGTCAGGGACACAATGCAATCAGCTGGTTTCCCTCAAATAGAAAAGCTTGAACCAATTGATTCCACTGTTTCTGTAAAGTGCCTCTAGATGACGTGATGTGAATTGGCTCTGTATAAATAAACGGAATTTAACTGAAAAGTTGTGTAGTGTTGCTTTAAAGTAAAATATATTTGTGTTTCTATGTGTTAATGTTCACTAGGGCTGAGCAATACTTTGAGATTTCAAATTAAATTGAAATGTTTTTCAACACAGATATTAGATGAGACTGTATCGTCTATATTCTGATACTCTATGCTGAGCTATAATCATACTTTTACATGTATATGTTGGGTAATTCAATTTTTTTTTTGTTTATCTACAATTATTTGTTAAAGATTTGACTTTTGGGACAAAGCTTTGATACAAACGTCATTTTTTTAACTTGATGAAAAGAAAATCAGATCCAGATAAATATTGTATATCACCATTAAACTTAAAAACATGGAGATATTATTCTGGGACTATATCACCTCACTTTAATGTTTACTAACTAGATGTTTAAATAGTAGAAATATTGATCCACATCGTCACCTTTTAATCAGACTAGTTAAAGCTGTACAATGTCAGAATGTGAACAGATGTTTTTTTTTTTTTTACAGATTTTTTTATTACATAAAAACAATCCTGTTTTTAGAGCTTTTGGTGATCAGATACAATGTTCATGTGTGTGTTGGATTATCAAATGAAATCACATGAAATCAAATGGAGTCTTTGTTATACTGGCAATAATTTTCCAAACAAATTGATATAATAATGAATAAATATAGAGCTGCTGATCTAAAACCCTAATAATTAATACATAACATTGGAGGAAATTCTATGTTGAAATAATATAGGTTTGGAAAATAGGTTAATTTTAACTAAAGGCATAGTGGAGGATGATCTTTTTCCGGGTGGATCATCAAAATAAGTGGTCCTCCTAATTGTCAATCATTCTGGTGATATGTTTACATAAGGCTGTCCTACGTACTCGTCCCCATTTTCACTTTCCGGTGGTGAGTCTGACATAGTGGAAAAATTGTAAATCTTCTCTTGGAAAGTAAACCTCTATGAGCGATGCAAACATCAACTTTTAAACAGAGCGTTCACGAGGAGAAATGTGCTCGTGAATGCCCTCGCACGCGTTTAATAGGCGTTTCCTCTCAGGAGCGGGTAGAGGGTTGTGCATGCACTGGAAAAAATCGAAATCTAGATAAGTCATTTCTTCTTAAAATAACTGCATTTTCTCTTGGATTGAGGAGGTTAAAGAGACATCTATCCAATGGAACAAGACAATTTACACTTAAAATAAGCAAACACAATTGCATTGTCTTATTTTAAGAATAAAAATACCCATTTCATTGGCAAACTATCTCATTTACTTATTCAAATTAGGGGAAATACACTTCATTTAAGAAATGTTTACTTATTTCTAGATCGTTTTTCCATTGTGTGCATTTTGTTTTACATTGGAGAGGGCAGGTCGTTTAAAAAAATCCTCCACTATACTTTTAAGAAGGACTGTAGTGATAACTAGGTTCAGTGACTTTGAATGTGCGGCGTTTTTTTCTAAATAAAATATTTCTATTAATGACCACAGGCAGGTGGAGCAGCTGAAAAATGCCTTAAAATAGCACCACGTTAACATATTTTTGTCATGATCTTGGCACCGTAAGCTGGGTTTTACTCTGTTTTTCCTCTTATCTGCTTTGCTCCTCCCCGGCCCTATTATCTCTTATCAGATCCACCTGTTTCCTCTCCTATTTATGCCACTAGTTCCCAGCCCATGGTGCCAGATTATTCAAGCTTCCAGCCTGTCTAGTTCTAGCGTTTCTCTGTGTGTGTTCTGCCTGATTTGATCTGTTTCTGCCCCCGGACTTCTGAGTTTTGGCCGCCCCTGCTCTGCTCTGTTTTGCCTGTTCTGTTTCTCTGGATTCTACCTGTTGCTGACCTTGGACCTGTCTTCTGACGGCTTGGATTATCCCTCCTGGATCCCTCGTTTTCTCTGTGTGCTCTGGCTGCTGCTGGTCGCTGCTTCTCCACCCTTCTGGATCTCTGATTCGGGCTCAGTCTCACGCTGCGGAGCTCAGCGCCTCCGTACTTCTCTCCTCCTCCTGAGCTCATTTCGAACTTTCCCAGGTTGGTGACAATCAGCTCAT